TGTTGTTTTAATTACTAGTTGTATTCCTTTAATTATTAGTTGAGCAAATTTTATTTTAAAATTTAAGTTAGATGCCTTTAGAATTAATTGAAATTTTTGAAAACTAAGTTATTTTTTAAGGCAAGTTATTCTGTATCCATATAGGAAAATTTCACTTGATGTTTGCCTTTTGGAAGTTTTGGGGTCTTTGGGGGGGTTTTTTTTGGTCCAAACTTTACTCAAGATTTTATGATAAGAAAGCCAACTAAAAAGTGAATTCAGGACCACATTTTAAAGTACCTTAAAAAGCTTTCTGAGTGCTCATTTCCTAAAAGATCTTAATCTTCTCATACTTTTCTTCCAATGGCAGGCTTAGCAGCCTCACATGAATGCCATCAGCAGAGGGCACTAATTCCTCTAGGCTAATCACTAGAAGATTTTATCAATGGGTCAATGTTTAGTTATTGTAGTTAAATAGTACACAGCAGGTGTGCATAGTAAGTTAGTCTTGTAATTAAATATTAAGTTAAACGTTACTAGCAGGATGATCCTAAAGATTAGACACTCTGTCATTCTAATTCGATGCTTTGCTTTTCTGTATCTGCTGAATCAAATTGTAGGAATTGGTACACATAAATACAAAATAAAGATATTTCTGCATAAAAAGATTATTTTCTTCTGTTAATGAAAATTTTATTCACGGTCTTGCATAACACTGTTTAGATTTTAGTTCTTGAGTAAATATTTGACTGTTTGATCCAAGTCTAAATGTTTAGAAAGGCCTTAACAGCCCTCATGTCCTGTTTAGCATTGCTTTTCTGGTAGATGAAATTCTCAGCTTGGGTACATAATCTCTTTCAGAAGTCTTTAATACATCTAAAATCTCAATTAACTCTCTTAGTCTACAAACTTTTTCATTTGTATGCCTCTTTAGGAGAAAGAAACAAATCATAAAAAAATCTATGAGTATGTTTCTTGAGTATCGTACTAGTGGTCGAACTCCTAGATTTCAATTCTGTTTGTCATTTATTGACTTGTGCAAGTATTTTAAACACTTTGATTCACAACTTCCATGTCTCTAAAGTGAGTTTTGTGTAGATAAAATTTAAGTAATAGGGTAAAACCAAAATACTATAAAAATGTAAGGTATTATTTGTATAAATAATTATTTATTATTTTTATTATTATTTATAAATAATTTGTATAAATTAGTTCATTTCAGCATCTGTGATCCCATGAAAATACAATTAATATCCGGACCAATGCCTTGGAAACAAGATTCTCCAGTGAAGATTATGATGGTTCATTCATATATTCTAATTACACAGGAAAGTCTACTGATTATGTATTTCAGAAACATTTTCAAGAATAAGCATCTAAAGATAAGGTTTCTGGTGACCATTTTGTTCACTGGATCACCTTATTAACCTAAACGTATAATTCCCTAAGTATTTCCATTTCTAAAAGTTCAAATGCCCAAAGGGCATTTAGGTGGAAAACCTTTTGCATAGTGTACACATGAAGATTTTGCTGAACTTTCAAAATTACAGAAAAGAAAAATACTTGAGTATTAAGTATTTGTTTTAGAAAGCAAGTGAAAAACTTCTTAGTTTGGCCTCTTAAAATATTAAAACATTGTTTCAAAATTTAAGCAATGAATAACACTGGCAGTTATGTGATTATTTGGCAAATCAGGACCATTTTAAGTAAGTCGTCTTCTAGCTTAAGTGTTCCAGAATATGTGCCATGTGCTATATTTATCAATCGTGTTCATCCACATTTCCTGGTTAAAAACTATATAGAAGTTTTCAGATTTCTTTTTATCTTCTATTAGGTCTTTTAAGTAGAAGGGAGTGCATACATATTGAGTTGAAGTAAAATTTCAGAATAAGGTAAAGTTCTAATTTTTTAAATTTCAGTGTGTTTGAAGAAACTGACCCGGATTTACAAGAGCTTCAGGCCTCGATGGAGCAGTTACTTAGGGAGCAACCTGGTGAAGAATACAGTGAGGAAGAAGAGTCGGTCTTAAAGAACAGTGACGTAGAGCAGACTGCAAACGGGACAGATCTGGCAGATGAGGATGACAATCCCAGCAGTGAAAGTGCCCTAAATGAAGAATGGCACTCAGGTGCATTATCATGGTTGTGGGTCTTTTTCTTTTTCAGTGTGTACAAATATTTCAAGAATTTTTTTTCTGATGTCTGATAGGAACCATTTTCAACTTGAAATAAAACTGAAGCAGGCTTCTGTGTCCCTGCCCTTTTCTCATTCTTTTTCTTTTCACATAAATGTGTATACATAGTTGTTCCACTTCCTTCCCATTAAATTAAAGCAAAGCTTTTTTGAAGCATTTGTATTCTGTTATTTGTTCTCCATTTTTTGACTTATTTTTTCAGTAATAAAGATAATAACTTAATTTTCTTATCACTTTATGTTTTACAAGGAGTTTCCACATATGGTAGTTAATTAGCAAGTTTAATTCTGAAAGGAATTTTTTAAATCCTGACACTCTTTTTTGTTTTGGAAACTATAGGCTGGCCCATGCAAGTTTAATTCTGAAAGGAATTTTTTAAATCCTGACACTCTTTTTTGTTTTGGAAACTATTCTTTATTTATAACATTACCCCTAAGATGCATAGAAAACTTGTATATTTCAATAATTATATTATTTGGGAGGAAGAGCTAATGTGAAAAGATTCTTCAGTAATTTTTTTTCGAAGTATCTTAAAGCATGTCCGTGACAAAACCTTTTGGGCATTTATAGTACTTTCTAGGTGCTTTCCTAAAATTTTATGAGTATGTTTTAGGTCATCTGCCTTCTGCATGCTTTTTCATGTTATGGCTCGTGTTTATTATAAACTTTTTAAAAATGGTAGTTAGAGTTGGTTACTTCAGTGTAGAATGTAGAGGTATGCTTTTTTCATTTTTTTTACTAAATTAAATGACATATCTAGGAATGTTTTTATTCTAACATGATGTACTGTTAATGTCTATAAAAGAAAAGATTCCCTAAGTAACGTTCTCATTAAGACAGATTTTGTATATACTTTGACTACTTATATAAATGACAAATATTATAGTGACAAAAAATTATATTGAAAGTCGAAGTAGTCTACTTCAATGGCATTATTCATTTGTGATAGAATTTTAGTCTATTATGGTAAGAATTATTCAGGCTTATTTTTTAATAATAAGATATACTTTATGCTTTCTAGATAACAGTGATGGTGAGACTGCTAGTGAATGTGAATATGATAGTGTCTTTAACCATTTAGAGGAACTGAGACTTCACCTTGAGCAGGAAATGGGATTTGAAAAGTTCTTTGAGGTTTATGAGAAAATAAAGGTAAGTAAAATGTCAATTAAAACATTTGCTTTTGAAATGTGCTGTTTGAATACTAGAGAAATGTTCATGAACTTTATTGGCCATTAGATTTGTTATAAATAAGTGCTAGAGAAAGTTAATATTCAGATATTAATTTATATTTGGGAATTTGGTATAGGCTATTCATGAAGATGAAGATGAAAATACTGAGATTTGTTCAACAATAGTTCAGAACATTTTGGGAAATGAACATCAGCATCTTTATGCCAAGGTTCTTCATTTAGTCATGGCAGATGGAGTCTATCAAGAAGGTAAGATTTCCTCACATCTTTATATTTTAAATAAATGTGAGAAAAACAAACTGAGAAATGTAAATTGATGACCTTACGTCACATCTATTTTGATAAAATCTATATTGGAACCATATCTATTACTTTTAAGCAATTATAAAATTAACTGTGTAATATACTTTTTTACTGATCTGTTGTATGCTTTTATTGACTTAAGTTCTTTAAGTCAATATTTATCATTTAATTTATAAGTAACATTTGAATAAGTTGTTTGGGTTTTTTTAAAAGCTTCTTGTTGACATTGGGCAAATAAGTACAAACAGTGCACTGTGAAACCAGGAATGAAGAGTACAAAGTTCATGTTCAAAAGCTCTCTAAATTTTCTGAAAACAGGACACAAATTTGGTGCTGATCCTGCTAGCAAAGCAGGAAACTTAATTAATCCCATGAGTCACAGTGTTCATGAGACAAAACATGTTAGTTGTAAAGAGGACAGCTATTTTTGCTGTTGAAACCAAAGGAAAATTTTTCCCATGATCCTTAAGAAAGAGGGCACTATCTTACAGTGTTTCTCAAACTTGAGTAGCATGTGCATCCCTTTAAAGGGAAAAAATATTTTTTTCGGGCACAAGATTCCAAGGGTCTGTAGACTCCAGTAAAAAACTCAAATCTTAGTCTTTGAAAATGTCCATCAGTTGTGAATTATTACTGTAAAACAGATGTCTTATTTTCTAAATATTAAAAGATTATTTTATTATCATCAGAATGAAAATATAAAATGTAAACATTATCTGGAGCTTATGGATTCTTGATTTTATTGAGACTTTGGACTCCATCTTATAAAACAGTGCTATCATAAAATGAAAAATATTCTCGGTAATTTTTACAATATTTGGATTTCATGGGGCTGTTTCTCATAATATGTCATGGTGTAAGTTAATGGCATGAGGCCAGAGAATGATTCCATTTAAGTAAATCTATGGAGGGTATCAAACCAGTTCTATTCATATTCAGACTGTTCACCCTTCAGGCAGTTCTCCATAAGTATTGTTTCAATAGAGCTTTTCATAAGTAATCAACAACAGTGTGCTTGGGGTTTCATTTTGCTTGACAAGTATCTGGAGAGCTTTTATTTTGCTTTGCCCCTGAAATGGAGAACTGTAACAACTGAGCCACAGGGTAGAATTGACACTCTCTTGACAGCTGAGTGGCTTCAAAAGGATATACGCCTACATAGAAGGTCATTCCCCCTGCAAAGGGCCAAGAATCAGCCTGGGCTAATACACCCCTCAAGAAGCAATATCAGATTTTCTCTAGCACACAAATGAAAGCAAAATAAGTACCCCAAAGTTCTGTGTCATAGATCCTGGCAGCAATTCCATTACCCTAGAAAAAAAATGTAAAGAAATTAAAGCCAAATGCCTACCCTGGCAACCCTTTTAAAAAATCTTTATACAGCCCATAAAATATTATAACTTACTAATATATCCACTAAATAAACTGGTTGTAAAATGTATACTGAATCATATGAGTAAGTTAACTTGCTGTTTTGTATTGTGAATCATAAGACAGTTAAATGTTAGACAACGACTGGATATAGAGTAACTGTTTCGGAACCCTTCTTATTGGAAGTAATTAGACTCCATATCTAACTGTCTTATAGACAGTTGTCCCTTAGGCCATATATAGGAGAAAATAATAATAATAAAACCACATCATCTGCATATGGTGCTTATACACTTTCATTCTCTGTGTTGGGGGATGGGGAAGGTAAAGAAGGGAGAGAGCAGGCAAAATTTTATCTAGCTTACCCAAAAGTTGTATCAAGTCATTAAGGTTCAAGTTAAAAAGAAGATTGTCTAAAATACCTTTCTGTTTTATTTCATTGGAAATTATCTGTGTCCTGAAAAGACAACCTCAACTATTCAACTCCGCCGATAATGTTAACAGTATAGATTTAGTAAGCATCAATAACTACAGCTGTTGATAGTTAATGCTGCTTAGTTCATAACTAGGTACTATCCAGAAGTCAAAAGAGCTTGTAAAATGTGTAAACTATTTAATATTATTCCTAATAAATTCCTCCATGAGAAGATGAGTATAACTGTGGCCAATGGTAGACTGGCAGGGACCACCAAGTCTTCGTGGAGAGCATTAGCATTAGCAGCCCAAGCTTATAGATTCCTAAGAAGGAAACACATACCTTCCTTCCACATTCATTTTAGATGGAATATTGGGCTGTGGTTATGTAATTAAATTATACACAGCAGTTAAAATGAGTGGCCTAAATTTACATCTATCAATATCAATAGCCTCAAACACATGATGAGTTGAATAAATAATACAAGAGGTACTTCAGAAAGTTCGTGAAAAAATAGAATTAAAAGATAATATGAATCTTCCCATGAACTTTTTGACGACCTCTCGTATATGATACCATTTACATAATATTTAAAAACAATTTTGTTTAGGGATGCACATATGTAATAAAAGTGAAAAACAATGAGAGGGAAGAATACACATCAGTTTCAAGGTACTGGAAATACCCCCTGGGGAAGAAGAGAGGGCAATAAGATTGAAAAGTGGTACCCTATGTGTAATATCTGGTTTTCCTTAAATAATCCAAACCAATATAGCAAAAATTAACTTTTCTTGTTTCTAGGTATTACTTTCCTGATTATTTGAAACATTTGTAATTGTAAAGTATAAGTAGAGTGACAAGTGTAACATTGAAAGCAATAAAATGTATATAAGTTGCATAAAGTAATGATCCAACTATATTGGAAGAAATAATGGTGACAGGTTAGGTCTTCCTAGGGGAGAAGACATAAGAGTTGTATTTGAAAGATGAATGGGAATTTGCCACAAATCAGTGTATGCACTTATGCAAAGAGGGATGCAAAACATTGTAGTAGGAGAACTGTAAGCAATTCAATGTTATTAAAGTATAAATTATGGGGCAGTTGGGGAAGATGGGGACTGAAATTTGGTACACTTATGCAAAGAGGGATGCAAAACATTGTAGTAGGAGAACTGTAAGCAGTTCAATGTTATTAAAGTATAAATTATGGGGCAGTTGGGGAAGATGGGGACTGAAATTTGGTAAGGCCGGAAATATTTAAAAGGCCAGATCATGAAGGGCTCTGCAATCTGTGTTAGGAGCATGGATTCTATCTTGAGGCAGTAGGGAGCTATTGAAGGGTTTTAAGCAGTACAATGATTTGACATGACATTTGGGTTTTAATGGAAGATTACTTTTGCTAGAATACAGAAGTCTCTTGCTTATAGATGATATTTGCTTCCCACTTTATTCTTCATTGTATTGTCTGAATATTTTACAATAAGTATTGCTATTATAATAAAAACTGCATTTAAAGCTATATTAAAACTATTTTTCTTTAGTATGAGAATGAGATTTTTTTTTTTTTACTGAGTGGATACAGCTTAATTAGAAATGAAGTGAATTAATTTTTCTTTTTTCTACAGATAATGATGAATAATCTTCAGACATTCTTTAATGCTCAACTGTATGAAAGCATTTGAATTTGGCTCATCAGAATAACAAGCTTCAGTGGGAAATAAAGCAGCTATTTATAAGAAATATCGAATTTAAGATGGGCATGCTTATTGCATGAAAAAGATGGAGAAACATGCCGTTTTTCAATTAAGATTCTAGTGTTTTATTTTTGTTTTGTTTGTTGAGTTCTATAGTTAAATCCTATAGAAAATAGACTTTATTAATCATTCAACCAAAGCATAAGAGACATTGATACAGAACTGGACTTAATGGTTTTGAAGATTTACTATGCAATAAGTTAATTTTGATTTTCAGCATGTGTCTTTAGGTTGGAGAAATTACCTATGTCATGAAAGACCTGCCTATGGTTTTTCATTTAAGTATTTTAGCATGACCTTTTTTTCTGTCTAGTACTTGTTTTCATCCAGGCCAACAATTGTGCGTTTAAATAAACTTGTCAAGGGCTCTATTTAAATCTTTACATTTGGAAGATGGAATTTTTAGCCTTAAAGTTTATATTTTCAAGTCCTTTTCAGCCAGTGTGTCTCCTGAGCTAGCTCATGGAAACAGGCTGTAGAAATTATTGAAAATTTGGATTATGAAAGAATAGGAAAATTATATTTACTGATATTGTAGAAGTTGGTTAATTCTATTTCTGTGTAATGACCAAAACCAAGAATATGGTATCTAAAAATTAGCCTGTGAGTTTTAACACTGACCTAGCATGTAGCATAAAGTTGCCCTCTTGGTTTTTAACTTCCTCTCATGCCTGTGCTTCAGGGGCAATATGAGATTTAAAAGGAGAAAGGAATCATTTTTATTTTGACACTGTGACAGTTTTGGTAAATAGTATCGCAAAGGGGGGAATGTTTGCCTCTTTTACTTATTTCCATTATGTGAGGATTTAGCTAGATCATTAAGATGATTGTTACAAGCTTCAATTGCAATATGCAAAGTATTAATGGTTTCATTACAGAAGTCTACAGTCCAGATGTTTTTAGTAATAAAAGCAGAATTTTTGAATCTCTAAGGACAATCAGCTTGATTGGCATAATCTACAATTTGAAAAATAAAATCCTATCTTGCAGCACTATCAGTACTATGTTGAAGTTATTATGTATATTATGTCTAACATCCAAAACTAACCACTTGAGGGCCAGCCCGTGGCTCACTCAGGAGAGTACGGTGCTGATAACACCAAGGCCATGGGTTCGGATCCTATATAGGGATGGCCTGTTTGCTCACTGGCTGAGCATGATGCTGACAACACCAAGCCAAGGGTTAAGATGCCTTTACCAGTCATCTTTAAAAAAAAACAAAAACAAAACTAACCACTTGATTTTTATATGTTTATTTTATGATATTACTGTTAAATTACTATTAAATTTTTATTGTCTACCTGAAGCATACTGTTGAATGTCTTTTATTTGTTAACACTATTCTCAACAGAATGCTTTTATACAGAGCTGAGAACACTTTTGGTTGGTTTTGTACCTGATGATTTCCCTTTTTTTGTTTTGTTTCATTTTGTTTTTAATGGAAGAACATTTGAATTCTGCACTTTAATTTTCTACAATCCTGAAAGGTGGTAATGATTTTTGGGGGATTATTTGTTAATTCTTAAACTATTACAACTATTAGAAATAAGTAGAAAAAGTTGTTTTAGGGCCGGCCCGTGTGAGACTCAGGAGAGTGTAGTGCTGATGACACCAAGGCCCTGGGTTCAGATCCCATACAGGGATGACCGGTTAGCTCACTGGCTGAGCGTGGTGCTGACAACACCAAGTCAAGGGTTAAGATCCCCTTACCGGTCATCTTTTAAAAAAAAAAGAAAGAAAGAAAGAAAAAGTTGTTTTAGCCATATTTCAAAAGATATCATATATGCAGGAATAGGGATGACAAACAGGATTTGTGCCATCTCCAGTCAACTGGTAGTAAGTGGCTCTGGAGTGTTATAATGAAAAGGTTGTGCCACTGGGGCAGAGGGCTGTTATTGTTCAGTAAGTCTATTATAGGTATTGGAGGTAACATGTGGAAGCATCTGTAGATTCATAGAATGTTAGAGCTAGAAAGAACTATCAAGGTAGTTCAGTCTTATCTCCACTTAACAGGCATGGACATTGAGTTGTAAGACGAAATTAAGTCACTTGCGTAAAGGTCAGACCAGTTCCCAGGTTGTACACTTTGCTATTATTTGCACATTCTTTTAAAATTGATCTCCTATAGAGGATTTTAAGAGAATAAATTTGATAGGTAAAAGTACACTTAGCATTAATCCATTAAGAATTCTATTAATATTTTCTATTTCTGGGACTAGGCATGCTATTCTAATTAACCTCCCTGTTGAAAACAGTTTTTAAATTATAGATAAAGTTGTGTTTTTTCCCCATAAATTAATACATAGTCTAACCCTTAGCAGTATTTTAATGATGGATCTTTCAAGATTGTGTGTGTGTATATGTGTGTGTGTGTGTGTTTGATATACACCTAAAAAACACAGAAGAGGTAAAAAGATAATGAATTGCAAGGTCAAAGCTTTGGAGAAGGCCTCAACCCAGGGAGATAAGTGGAATATTGGACAGAAAAAGGCCACCTTTGACCTGAAAGCATGTTCAGTACCTCACACTTCAGTATAGAGGGTCCATGGGGCAAGAGGGATGAAAGGCAAGCCCAAGGGCCTTCTCCAAGTTGGAGAATCCTATAGGAAACCCTAATGTAGGTGGGACCCCAAAGGGTCACAAGGGTCCATGGGGCAAGAGGGATGAAAGGCAAGCCCAAGGGTCTTCTCCAAGTTGGAGAATCCTATAGGAAACCCTAATGTAGGTGGGACCCCAAAGGGTCACATTCTCACAATAAGGGAGGACTGTAACTAAACCCAACCACAAACTGAGGGACTGCAAAAAGATAAAAGGACAAAAAATTCAAAGAAGTTCTGCCCACAGACCAACCTTCAAGTGGTTTTGTGCCTTAAGCACCAAACCTGGATGGGCCAGGGAACTGTAGACTCAAACATAATTTGAGATGGTCCCCAACTGGTAGTGCCTCCTGAATCTGGCAGAAGCCATTTCAGTGCCTCTCTGAAGAAAGGCACATTTATTCTGTCTTGAAATCACCATAAATAAATTTTCAAGAATAATGACAGATATGAAGTCAAAGACAAAATAGTACAAAAGAAATCAAGACCATATAAGTGGGAGATAAGAACAGGTTCTGCATGGGCTATAGATATTGGAATTATTGCCAGACAAGTATTATTAAACAATTGTGCTAGGGTTGGCCAGTTAGCTCAGTTGATTAGAGCATGTTGTTATAAACACCAGGGTCAAGCAAGGGTTCAGATCCCCATTCTGGCCAGCCACCAAAAAGTTAATAAAACTAAACTTATTGTGTTTGAAGAATGGTCAACAAACTTGAAAATATCTATAGGGAAAGAAAAACTAAAAAGTGATATAAATTTGAAGAATACCAAATAGAATTCATATACAAGGCTACTTCAAAAAATTCATGGAAAAATAAAATTAAAAAATGATATGAGGGCCAGCCCGTGGCTCACTTGGAAGAGTGTGGTGCTGATAATACCAAGGCCACAGGTTTGGATCCCTATATATAGGGATGGCTGGTTAGCTCACTTCGGAGAGCCTGGTGTTGACAACACCAGGTCAAGGATTAAGATCCCCTTATCAGTTATCTTTTTTAAAATAAATAAATAAAATAATATAAATCTTTTCCTGAACTTTTTGGAGTACCCCGATACATGAAAAAATATACTAACCAAAATTTTAAAACTCAGTGGCCATGCTTGGCAGCAAACTACATGGCAGAAGAGAGAATTAAAGAATTGGAAGAAATTATTATAATGCAGGACAGAAAAAGATGGAAAGTACAGTAGAGAAGAAACATAGATTCAGTGTGAAGGTCTAACGTGTTTGATTGGAATCCCAGAGAAAAAGAAAGAATGGGGTAAAGTTATTTGAGGAGCTAAAGGCTGAGAGTTTTTCAGAACTATAACCAGTCCACAGATTAAATAAGCCCAGTGAATTTCAAGCAGTATAAAGTAAAAGAAATGCACACCTAGTCTCTTCCAAGTGAAACCATGGAAAATCAAAGACGAAAAAAAGGTTTAAAAGAAACCAAAGAGAAAAGGCATACTACCTTAAGAGGAATGTGAGAGACTGACAGTTGGCTTTTCAACTATTGTAATGAAACAGTGGAATAATAGTTTCAATAGAAAGAAAATAACTGTCTTTCCACAATTTTATACTTGGCAAAAATATATTTCAAGAATGATGAAAAATGAATTCTGACTTAAACTTCTGGCCATGATAAAGGAAAAGAAAGTGGATTTTCCCCTAACCTTTAACAACTAAAACACCAGACAAAGTACATGAACCAATGGCTTTCAAACGGTGGGCAACAGACAGCAAAGGGCAGTGCCACAAAAGCAGGGAAACAAATGAGGTGACCTCTGTAATTCCTTGAGTTTACTGCACAGAAATAGCATGGGATGGGGGTGGACAAACAAAGCCGAAGGGTTTCCTTAAATTTAGGAGACAGAAGTTAGAATTTACAGAGGTGAAAGCAGCCAGAATTTACAGGACAGAGTACTAGAAAGGAGAGAGCTGCACAGGAAGAGAGAGAGAGCTCCAGAGATCTGTAAAGACCCTTTTGTGTTCAGAAAACTGGTTAGTGCATCACATGAAGAAACTACTTAAGACTGAAGGAAACCACTAGAAAGGAGCAGTGAAATAATACCCGAATATTATCCAGTGCCAAGAATAGTTTGTATTTCTACCAGCCTGAGTAGGAAGATCTAACACCTGGGGCATAGGACACAGAAAGGCATTGCATCGTTAGTGGAGCCAAATTATCCCCAGATAAAAGCTATTCTGGTTCTAACAAAGCTAAGAAGCAAGACTTGAAAGGACCATACTGTTTCCCAGGAACTTAACAGAACTCAAATGTAGTTGAAGAAATCTTCAAAATGTCAGCATTCAACAAAGTAACATTCACAATATCAGGCACCCAGTCAAAAATTACCAAGCATGCAAAGAAGCAGGAAAATATGACTCGTATTAGGGAGAATAATCTATCAGTGAAAATCATGCAGGTAATATAATTAGTAGTCAAGGATATTCAAAGTTATTCACTATACTTTTAAAAAGGCAGAGGAAAACATAAGCATGAAGAAGAAAGGCATATCAGATTTTCTAACACGCTTGTACATATACCAAGTAAAAATTCTAGATGTAAAATACATATGTAACAAACAGATCTGCTACTCAAGAAAGCATTAGTAAACTAGACCCAACTGTCATTTATAAAATACTCCATGCAAAACAATAAACAATATTTCAGAGGTACATGGTACATTTACCAAAATAGACCATATTTCGGACCTAAATATGTATCAAGAAATTTTAAATTTAGAAATTCATCAAATATTTAGAAACTAAACACATTTTTAAATAACTCAGGGATCAAATCAAAAATCAGTCAAAATTAGAAATATTTTGAACTGAATGAAAACTTAAATGTGACATATCTAAATTTGTGAGATGTTGGGCCAGCCCATGGCTCACTCGGGAGAGTGCGGTGCCGATAACACTAAGGCCACGGGTTCAGATCCCATACAGGGATGGCCAGTTAGCCCACTGGGTGAGCATGGTGCTGACAACACCAAGTCAAGGGTTAAGATCCCCTTACCAGTCATCCTTTAAATAAATGAATAAATAAATAAATTTGTGGGATGTCTAAGGCAGAGCTTAGAGTGAAATTTTAACATTTCACTGCATGGCATTAAACATTTGTAAAAGAAGCAATTTAATAACCTAAACAAATAAATAAATAAATAAATTTGTGGGATGTCTAAGGCAGAGCTTAGAGTGAAATTTTAACATTTCACTGCATGGCATTAAACATTTGTAAAAGAAGCAATTTAATAACCTAAACTTCTACATTAAAAAAACAGTTTTGAAAGAAATTAAATCCAAAACAGGCAGAAAAAAGGAAATGAATATTTTTAAAAAGGCACAGAAATCAATGAAATGTAGTTAGAGAAAATCAGAGAAGCCAAAAGCTAGCTCTTTAAGAACATCA